GTCAGGCGCCGCCAGGGGCCGCGTCAGGGCGCCACCAGGGGGCGCGTCAGGGGCCGCGATAGGGCGCCGGCAGGGGCCTCGTCAGGGCGCCGCCAGGGGCCGCATAGGGGGCGCGTGGGAGGCGGCTTAGGGGCCGCGTAGAGGCAGCGTAGGGGCCGCTAAAAAAAAAAATTTAGGGCAGGGCGCAATGTGCGCGGGCAGCTAAAAAAAAAATTCTTATGGTGGGCCCTTAGGAAGGAACGGTCCCATGTAGGAACCCGCTCTATACCATGTGAATCAAGAAAAACAGGAATGAGAATGACTAAGTGAAAGTTGGGTACAAGAAGCAAACCCTAGAAAACTGTACCCCATATGTGCTACCCCACTCTAGCCTACAGTAGCTATGTCATATAAATCTGACAGTCTGTCCGTACTGTCACGTCCACGCCAGTCAAGTAACAGCGCCATACTTTGAACGCGTGCACGATCGCAAGCATTTCGCGGTCGTGTATCGGGTAATTTTTCTCGGGCGGATGCAGTTTTCGTGACTCGTATGCGATAGGCTGTAGGCCATTGCCGAAATCCTGTAGCAGTACGGCTCCGATGGCGATATCGCTTGCGTCGGTAACTACTTCGAATGGGCGGTGTGGGTCGGCGATGCGCAGGACGGGCGGGGAACAGAGAACATTTTTCAGGGCAGAGAAGGCAGCATGCTCTTTCTCCCCCCACGTAAAAGCGACCCCCTTCCGCAGTAAGTCCGTCAGTGGGGCAGTTAACCGTGCCATATCGGGGACGAACCGACGTACATAATTAACGAACCCTAAAAAGCTCTGCAGCTCCGTGATGTTCGTCGGGGGATGCCACACTTTTACCGTATCCAGCTTCTTTGGGTCGATTTCAACTCCAGCCTCCGAAATAACGTGCCCCAAAAAATTCTAACCTATTCTGGAAGAACTCGCACTTGGAACCCTTGGTCAGTAATCTGTGCTTGTCTAAAACCTTAAACACTTCTTCCAGATCTGCTAAGTGCTGCTGCTTATCCCGACTGTACACTAGGATGTCGTCGAGGTAAACGATCACACATTTATCTAAGAGCGGCCTAAATGCCTCGTTCATGGTCATCTAAAAAGTCGCCGGTGCGTTGGTCAGCCCGAATGGCATCACAGTGTACTCGAACGACCCGTACCTAGTCCTGAAAGCTGTTTTGGCGCAGTCCGATGGTTCGACCCTAATCTGATGGTAACCTCCCCGTAAATCTATTTTCGAAAAAACCCGTGCTGTTCGCAGTTGGTCGATCAGTTCGTCGGCGCGGGGAATTGGGTACCGCGACTTGACTGTTACCCTGTTCAGTGCTCTGTAGTCGATACACATGCGAAAACCCCCGTCTTTTTTCGGCGTGAATAGTATCGGTGCGGCGAACGGTGACGAGCTCGGTCTGATGACTTTTTTCTCTAACAGGTAATCTAACTGCTTCCTTAGTTCGTCGAGCTCGGGCTGTGTCAGTCTGAACTGGTGCTGTACGGTTGGCTGTGCCCCCGGTTCTAATCCGATTCGGTGGTCATGTGCTCGCTGAGGTGGCAGTCCTTCCGGTAAGTCGTCGGGGAAAATCCCGGGGTATCGTTTCAACAGTTCCTGTAATTCGGGCGGTACGGCTGCCAGGAGTTTCTTGAAATCACTCGGCTGCTCTGCTTCCTCTACTACTGCGATGTCTACTGCGTACACGTCAGCTCCAGCAGCGACAGCCCGTTTCATTGTGATAGCGTTGACGTGTACCGTTGAAGACTCGGGCGACTGCCTGCGAGGTAGCTCGACCCAGTTACCACTACTTCGCACGGTGCAGCTACCCGTCGTCCAGTCAATTCGCGGGTTATATCGTCGCAGCCAATCACGTCCCAGTAAAATATCGTGCTCATCCAGTGTCGTTGCGAGCATTTCCTGTGTAAACCCGAAATTTCCCCCGCAGCGGACTTTGACTCTCTCTACCTTTTCCCGTATGGCCAGTGGCGTGCCGTCGACTAAGCGTGCGTCTATCTCCGGTAAGCAACGGCTAAGTGTCAGCTGCAGTTTTCGTGCGGTTGCGGTATTAACTAAACTGTGGCTTGCTCCTCCGTCGATAAAAATCTTCACTGCTGCTCCCTGTATTTTCCCGTGGATCAGTACTGGGCAATCCGTCGTTGTACCCTCCTTATTCATCCGAGCCCGATCGATGGCGTGAATCGGTACTGTGACTCGGTGAGGGTCGGTGCGGTTGGGCGAGCAGGCAGTCTCGTCAGTAGTTGGCCCAACTTCTACTGACTGCTGGCGTTTCCCTGCCTCTGAGACTCCCTTCCCTGCTCTGCTCCGCGGCGTCTTAGCTCCTCTGGGCATTCGCTCTTGCGATGGCCCGGCCTGTTGCAAGCAAAGCAGCGCCCCTTAAACGGTGCGGCAGCTGCATTCGTTGCAACAGCGTTTACAGTGGCGTGCTTGATCGGTCCCCGAGGACGATGTCCGTAGTAGGACCCCGGTCTCGGTCGGCGTAGAATGTCGATTTTCTCGGCGAGCGCGAGAATCTCGTTGAAGTTTGAGAGTCCGCGCAGCATGATTTCGTGCGAGATATCCGGCTTCAGCCCTCCGACGTAACGGTCCACCCGCTCCGCTTCGTGCATGTAGCCGACCTGCTCGCAAAGTGCGAGAAAACCGCTCGTGTAATCTTGAACCGACCCGAGCTGCCGCCAAGTGCGCAATCTCTGACGCGCCGAAATAGAAGCCGCGATCGGCTCGAAGCGCGCCCGAAGCCCTGCGCACCACGCATCCCACGTGCTGTATTGGGCGGTCTCGCAGAATGAACTCCAGGTGACAGCTGGACCCGTGGGCCCTTCCTCTTGCGACGGTGGCTCGTAGGCGCGTGGCGACGTCACGATGACTCGCCACCAGTCCATGGCGGGGCCCCTTAGCAGCGAAACTGCATACCGAATCTTCGCTGCGTCCGACTCGACGTAATTCGCGTCGAAGAAGACGTTCATCGTGAAGACCCACGATTGAACCGTCGGACCTCCACGCTGGCTCGGGTCGAAACAGGGCGGGCGTTGCGGCTTGAGTGGCATTGGTGCCATGATGGCTTGTTCGCCACTTGTCGCCGCGAACTCCACGTGCCGACGGGCTTCGCGAGGCTCCCGCGGGCTTGGTGCGACCCTGTTTCCTCCCATGCCAGGCATCGGCTGGGCGGCGCCATCGCTGGCTGCGCCTGAGCGCTGTCCCACGCTGTTGGTTTGTGTTGGTGTGCCGGACGAGATGACGATCGGCTCGTCTGATTGTGCAGATGCATTTGTCGGTGCGTGTGGTGGCGCTGGAGTGTTCATCGTTGATTGCTGACGCGCGGAGTCACGTTCCGCCGTGAGCGTCGCAATTTCGAGCGCCGAATCTTCGAGTTGGCGCACCAGACGGTCGAGCTGCTCCTGCGTCAATGTGGCGAGCGTGAATTCGGCCATGGCGGGGGTGTCGGGCGAGCTCAGCGAGAGCCTCAGTCGTGGCCGTGCGTGCTTACGAGAGAGCACTACGAGCGGCGGTGCTGTGTCGCTGAGGGACGTCTACCCCCCCCAAAAATTGAGATAGTGGGGAAGCGAAGGTGTGGGTGCGGTCCGAGAAGAGGTCGTAGGCTCTGAATACCAAGTGTTACGAGTGCAATTGAGTGAACGAACGAGAATTGCACTATCGAAGCAAGAGTACAATGAGCGAAGGCATGAGCGAAGAATATATAGCGAAACTACAGTGGTAACGGTAATGGACTGTGGTTGTCGCGCGACGGGCCTGGGACTGAGGTTGGGAAAAAGTGTCGAAGCGGAGGCCCGGAGCGCGGGTTACCCGCCGAGCCGTGAGGTCGGGGTGCGATGTGCGAAGGTGGCGGGCAGATTGTCGATGCGAGGGTTGCGAGTGGTAACGGTGCTGACTGTGTAAGGAATTTTCCTTACAGCTCTGCGGCACAGGCTTGTTTGGAGATGGCAACTTGGCAATGGCAACCCTCGGCGGCAAGCTCGAGGTGGGCATCAACAAAGCTCGACGTCATCAACAAACCGTGTAGGTACGCAGGCATCCGTCCACATCCCTTCCCACCTCCTGTCACCGACCCTCACCTGCGTAGTTTACCCTTCCCTCCATTACTTCGCTTGCTAATCTTCAGTACGGTAATCAGCAGTCATCTCTTTACAACGCTCGAAAACGCTACGCACCAAGCACAACCGTGGCAGTGGAGTGCAGACTAGTTCATTCCCTTGCATCTCCTCTACCCCTGCTCCTTTTCCTTCCCTCAGGCCTGACACAAAGGACCTCCCCCTGATGGTGCAGTGCAGCCTGTACAAATACAGAAACTTCGGCCAAAGCCTTTTCTCACCTTTCCGCAAATTCATGAAGGAAGAGGCTACCTGTGTGGCTGAGCAAGCCAATCAAATTCATTCGAAAACGACGACCGACCGACCCCGGGCCTTCGCTGGTGTTCCTAACCCACGCTCCTAGCGCTCGACTTTCTTACCATAACGCGATCCATTACTGTTCGGTCGCCGGAAGTAACAGCTTTTACTTCTGCTCAAGTTCCAAACTACAGTATTCAGCCAGTCCGCTACCACATATTTGCTGCATCCACCCAGTTTTCCCCGCTCGAGGATCATAACGACGAGCCTCGCTTGCACAATCCATTCTCCTCGCTTCATTCCCCCGCATTCTGCGGTTTAGCTCGCACAGGCGTTTAACAATCTTCACCCTTTTTCGCAAACAACGTAACCGTATGCTTTGCCCACCTGGTAACTCTACTGTTCGTTACCGCATTGCCCCGACGACCGTGAGAACTGTCATACTGACTCAGTAAGCCGGCATTGCGCAATAAATGCTCTCCGGATGTCTCCGTTATCATACAACGTTGTGTGAACTTTTAAATCCCTCGGACTTCATCTAGGGGCCGACAGACCGCGCAGCGCGACTCAGGGTGGTTCGAAACTGTGCCGTTTCAGTTTCCGTTCCAACGCGTCAAGTCCGTCAAGCTCGTCGTGATCATGGCGAGCGGGGTGAACCTCACTGCGGTGACAGTCATTGCTGCCGTCTCCGCCGTCCTCGCGGCCGGCGTCACAGCGCTAAACGTTCCCTCCGGCGTCTTCGGGTGAGTTCTCCACTCCCTCCCTTCCTCTTCCCCTCCTTTTCCCCTGTCCTTCCCCTCCCTTCCCACGAAGCCTCGAAAAGCACATACTCAACATTCGTGGGTCCATCCTGGCTGGCTGCAGAACCCCCACTCCCCCGGCCTCTCTTTCCTCCAAATCCCCTTCCCTATCGACCCCGACCACCCCACCCTCCACCTGCTGCACCCCATGCCCTTCTTCTGCACGTGCCACGATGACTCAGCATTCATGAGGCCGGCGTGGCAGAAAAACCCTCACTCCCTCCGCCTCCCCACTAGACAACACCATGATTCAAGGCTCTCCCCGCGCCCCCACTTCTCCCTTCTTTCCTGTCTCTCAACTGGCACCCCAAGCCCCACGTGGTGCCCTTCTTCTGCACGTGCAATGATGACTCAGCGCTGGTGGCTCAGCATTTATAGACAAAACCATGACTTAAGAACCCCCGCGTTTTGCGCCGACTCAAAACACGAAGCATTGATCGACAGCACCATGACTCAAGACCCCCCTCGGGCCTCCCCTTTTCTCTTCTTCCCTGTCTCTCAACCGACACCCCAAGCCCCACGCCCCTCCCTCCCTCCCTCTCTCCCTCCCTCCCTTCCTTTCTTCTGCACGGGCGATGATGACTCAGTGCTGATGGAGGACGGACAGCCTGACTCAAGACCCCCCACCTATCCCACTCCCATACTCTCTTCCTCCCTTTCCCTCTCTCTCTTCTTCCCCTGCCCTCCCCATGCACCCCCCCTCCCCCCCAGCCTGCACCCCAAGCCCCACGTGCTACCCTTCTTCTGCACGTGCGACGATGACTCAGCGCTGATGGAGGACAGCCTGGCGCGCTGCCAGGTGGCGAGCGACTTCCTCATCGCGCTGTCATACCTGTCCATCCCACTCGAGCTCGCATACTTCACGCTGAGGGCCAGGAACTTCTCACACCGCTGGGTCATGCTGCTCTTCAGCCTCTTCATTGTCCTCTGTGGTGAGTGAGTGGGTGCATGCTGCTGCCTTGGTTGGGGCTGGTCAGTGCCAGTGGTCACCTCTGGGCCTGTCCTAATCGCGCTGGCGTACCTGTCCATCCCACTCGAGCTCGCATACTTCACGCTGAGGGCCAGGACCTTCTCACACCGCTGGGTCATGCTGCTCTTCAGCCTCTTCATTGTTCTCTGCGGTGCGAATATCCCCTTGTTGCATGCATGCTCTGTGGCGCGTGCTCTTCTCTATGTTGCTCAGCTCAGCGTGCTCTGTATGCGTTCAGCAGTCCCCACTCCCCTCTTTTCTCCCTCCCCCATTCCTTTGCCCCTCTCCCTTCGCCCATCGCCCTGTCCCACCAGGTCCGACCCACCTAGTGAACGTGTGGACGTTCGGAGCACACCTGCGGCACCTGAATTTAGCTCAGGCATTACTCTCCTTCTCCCTGCCCCTCACGCCTCGTCTTCCTCTCCTCCCCACCCCTCGCCTTTTCGCCCCTGCCCCCACCAGGCCTGACCCACCTGGTGAACGTGTGGACGTACGGTGCGCACCCGCGGCAGCTGAGTGTGGTGCAGACGGTGCTCAAGGTGCTCTGTGCGGCCGTCTCATGGGGCACAGCCTTTGTGCTCTTCACCATCATCCCCTCGCTCCTCAAGTTCAAGGCAAGTGCCTTTGTCCGTCCAGACGTGTCCTTTTGGGTCGACTCTCAGCACCTGCAGCAGCTGAGGGTCGTGCAGAAGGTGCTCAAGGTGCTCTGCGCGGCGTTCCCAGTCTGCGTATCCTGGAGCTCTATCCAGGTGTCGTCTTTCGAGTGGCCTCTCCGAATGCACCTATGACTACCTGATAGTTCGCCCGTGCCCCTGCGTGATTAGTTGGTTATCGAGATTCGACTGGGGGGCTATCAGCAAGCAAATTTTGCTGATAGCTTGTCGTGCACATACACTTGAATTCGGCTAGCAATCCAGCTGCCCAGCGTCCATATCTAGCCCCTCTGCCTCCCGTGCCATGCCTTCCTGGCAGGTTCGGGAGCTTTCGCTGCAGCACAAGGCTGCACAGCTGGATCGGGAGATGGATGCTATTCGAAGAAGAGAGGAGGTGAGGCTAAGTGGGGGGTTGGTTTGTAGAAAGGCGACTCAAGAAGAGAAGAGGAAGCAAGGCAAGATGTCGATTACTTAGGGGAAAGGCGAAAGTGTTTTTTTTTCTTCTTCTTTGCTCTCATCCCTCTGCTGCTCACTTCTCTATTCCCCCCCTCCCCCTCATCTCCCCGTCATCCTACCCCCCTCTTTCCTTCCATCCTTTTGCTTGGACCGCCACACCATCATATCCTGCCTCCCTCCTCTCCACCCCTCCACCCGCGTCTCTTTCCCTGACGCACAAATCAGTCTCTCTCCCCCTCAGGTGGGGCGCTAGGTGCGCATGCTGACATACGATACGAGTCTCTGGATGGACCGTCACACCATGCTCAGCAGCCTTGAGACGTCTCAAGTTCAATTCGAACCCCTTCCCCCCTTCTCTTTTCTCACAGGTGGGTCGCCATGTGTGCATACTGACATATGAGATCTGTCAGTCTCTTGACCGACCGCCACACATTACCCAAACACTGTTGAGATGAGACATCTCAAACCCCCCTTTTTCCCTCCGTATGCCTTTTTCTTCCCCAGGTGAGGCGTCGTGCGCATGCTGACATATTGAGATCCGCCGGTCTCTGGACCTCCACACCATCCTCAACACCACTCTAGACGAGCTCTCCCAGGCCTCGAGACATTGCATATTCCCCGTTCCTTCTTTCCCTCCCCTCCAGGTGGGGCGGCATGTGCGTATGCTAACATACGAGATCCGCCAGTCCCTGGACCGCCACACCATCCTCAACACCACGCTAGTGGAGCTCGCCCAGGCGCTCATGCTTGAGAACTGCACCGTGTGGATGCCCGACCCCTGTGAGTGTGTGCTACTGACCCCTGTGAGTGCTACTGACCCCTGTGAGTGTGTGCTACTGACCCCTGTGAGTGCTACTGACCCCTGTGAGTGTGTGCTACTGACCCCTGTGAGTGCTACTGACCCCTGTGAGTGCTACTGACCCCTGTGAGTGCTACTGACCCCTGTGAGTGTGTGCTACTGACCCCTGTGAGTGTGTGCTACTGACCCCTGTGAGTGTGTGCTACTGACCCCTGTGAGTGTGTGCTACTGACCCCTGTGAGTGTGTGCTACTGACCCCTGTGAGTGTGTGCTACTGACCCCTGTGAGTGCTACTGACCCCTGTGAGTGTGTGCTACTGACCCCTGTGAGTGTGTGCTACTGACCCCTGTGAGTGTGTGCTACTGACCCCTGTGAGTGTGTGCTACTGACCCCTGTGAGTGTGTGCTACTGACCCCTGTGAGTGTGTGCTACTGACCCCTGTGAGTGTGTGCTACTGACCCCTGTGAGTGTGTGCTACTGACCCCTGTGAGTGTGTGCTACTGACCCCTGTGAGTGTGTGCTACTGACCCCTGTGAGTGTGTGCTACTGACCCCTGTGAGTGTGTGCTACTGACCCCTGTGAGTGTGTGCTACTGACCCCTGTGAGTGTGTGCACAGTTGTGAGTGCGCCCAATGCCTGTGAGGGCGTGCATAGGTGCATGCTTGATGAGGTGAGAGGAGTCCCACCGTCCTCAACACCACACTAGTCGAACTCGCCCAGGCACTCATGCTCGAGAACTGCAACTGTCTGGATGCCTGACCCCTGTTAGTGTGCCTTACCCCTGTGAGTGTGTGAGTATATAGAGCACACATAGAGAGCACTTAGCACCGCCATGTGTGGATTAACACGGGACCACCCCACCCTAACCATCCCTCAGTCGCCCCCCATCCCTCCTACACCTCCCCTCCTCCTGTGTGTTTTTCCCTAACTTGCTACCCGCAGCGGGAGAGTATTTGGAGCTGACACACGAACTGGAGAGAAGGCTGGTGCAGGTGATGTCAATCAACAGTTTGAATGTTGGTGATGTGACTGTAGGTGGTGTGACTGTAGGTATGAGGGGTGTTACATGCTGCTTGCAGCGGGAAAGTATTTGGAGCTGACACACGAACTGGAGAGAAGGCTGGTGCAGGTGATGTGACTCTAGGAGAGGTTTGTGTGACTATAGGTGGTGTGATATAAGCGTACCATCCCATTCTCTCTCACGACTGTGTCTCCCACAGCAAGTCCCCTGTCCCTCCCTTCCCCCCCTTGCCCCTCCCCTTCTCTTTCCCTCCCCTCCCCCCTGGTCCTATCCATGAACTCACATGGCGCCTTTCTGTGCACACTGTTTTTGAGATTTCTGAAAACCCCTTTGATTCTCCCAAACCACACCACCCGCCCATTCCCGTACTTTCAGGTGCCCATTTGCGTGCACATATCGGACCCGAGCGTCCAATCAGTGATCGCCACGTCAAACCCGTGCCTCATCTCCCGATCCTCCTTCATTGGCTCGGCGTCTACGCCCCGAGGGGCCCATGCGAACGCCATGGCAGGTGGGTGACTGTTGGGGTCGTGTTCGCATGGGCCCCTCGGGGCCTATGCGAACGCCATGGCATCGAAGGAGTCATGTTCGTGTCGGGTTTCGACGTGACTTTTGAGTCAACTCAACTCAAAAGTCACCTCGTTACCGTGACTGTTGGGGGGCACGGCATCGATGGAGTCATGTTCGTGTCGGGTTTCGAGGCGACTTTTGAGTCAACTCAAAAGTCACCTCGTTACCATGACTGTTGAGGAGCATGGCATCGATGGAGTCATGTTCGTGTCGGGTTTCGAGGCGACTTTTGAGTCAACTCAAAAGTCACCTCGTTACCATGACTGTTGAGGAGCATGGCATCGATGGAGTCATGTTCGTGTCGGGTTTCGAGGCGACTTTTGAGTCAACTCAAAAGTCACCTCGTTACCATGACTGTTGAGGAGCATGGCATCGATGGAGTCATGTTCGTGTCGGGTTTCGAGGCGACTTTTGAGTCAACTCAAAAGTCACCTCGTTACCATGACTGTTGAGGAGCATGGCATCGATGGAGTCATGTTCGTGTCGGGTTTCGAGGCGACTTTTGAGTCAACTCAAAAGTCACCTCGTTACCATGACTGTTGAGGAGCATGGCATCGATGGAGTCATGTTCGTGTCGGGTTTCGAGGCGACTTTTGAGTCAACTCAAAAGACACCTCGTTACCATGACTGTTGAGGAGCATGGCATCGATGGAGTCATGTTCGTGTCGGGTTTCGAGGCGACTTTTGAGTCAACTCAAAAGTCACCTCGTTACCATGACTGTTGAGGAGCATGGCATCGATGGAGTCATGTTCGTGTTGGGTTTCGAGGCGACTTTTGAGTCAACTCAAAAGTCACCTCGTTACCATGACTGTTGAGGAGCATGGCATCGATGGAGTCATGTTCGTGTCGGGTTTCGAGGCGACTTTTGAGTCAACTCAAAAGTCACCTCGTTACCATGACTGTTGAGGAGCATGGCATCGATGGAGTTATGTTCGTGTCGGGTTTCGAGGCGACTTTTGAGTCAACTCAAAAGTCACCTCGTTACCATGACTGTTGAGGAGCATGGCATCGATGGAGTCATGTTCGTGTCGGGTTTCGAGGCGACTTTTGAGTCAACTCAAAAGGCACCTCGTTACCATGACTGTTGAGGAGCATGGCATCGATGGAGTCATGTTCGTGTCGGGTTTCGAGGCGACTTTTGAGTCAACTCAAAAGTCACCTCGTTACCATGACTGTTGAGGAGCATGGCATCGATGGAGTCATGTTCGTGTCGGGTTTCGAGGCGACTTTTGAGTCAACTCAAAAGTCACCTCGTTACCATGACTGTTGAGGAGCATGGCATCGATGGAGTCATGTTCGTGTCGGGTTTCGAGGCGACTTTTGAGTCAACTCAAAAGTCACCTCGTTACCATGACTGTTGAGGAGCATGGCATCGATGGAGTCATGTTCGTGTCGGGTTTCGAGGCGACTTTTGAGTCAACTCAAAAGTCACCTCGTTACCATGACTGTTGAGGAGCATGGCATCGATGGAGTCATGTTCGTGTCGGGTTTCGAGGCGACTTTTGAGTCAACTCAAAAGTCACCTCGTTACCATGACTGTTGAGGAGCATGGCATCGATGGAGTCATGTTCGTGTCGGGTTTCGAGGCGACTTTTGAGTCAACTCAAAAGTCACCTCGTTACCATGACTGTTGAGGAGCATGGCATCGATGGAGTCATGTTCGTGTCGGGTTTCGAGGCGACTTTTGAGTCAACTCAAAAGTCACCTCGTTACCATGACTGTTGAGGAGCATGGCATCGATGGAGTCATGTTCGTGTCGGGTTTCGAGGCGACTTTTGAGTCAACTAAAAAGTCACCTCGTTACCATGACTGTTGAGGAGCATGGCATCGATGGAGTCATGTTCGTGTCGGGTTTCGAGGCGACTTTTGAGTCAACTCAAAAGTCACCTCGTTACCATGACTGTTGAGGAGCATGGCATCGATGGAGTCATGTTCGTGTCGGGTTTCGAGGCGACTTTTGAGTCAACTCAAAAGTCACCTCGTTACCATGACTGTTGAGGAGCATGGCATCGATGGAGTCATGTTCGTGTCGGGTTTCGAGGCGACTTTTGAGTCAACTCAAAAGTCACCTCGTTACCATGACTGTTGAGGAGCATGGCATCGATGGAGTCATGTTCGTGTCGGGTTTCGAGGCGACTTTTGAGTCAACTCAAAAGTCACCTTGTTACCATGACTGTTGAGGAGCATGGCATCGATGGAGTCATGTTCGTGTCGGATTTCGAGGCGACTTTTGAGTCAACTCAAAAGTCACCTCGTTACCATGACTGTTGAGGAGCATGGCATCGATGGAGTCATGTTCGTGTCGGGTTTCGAGGCGACTTTTGAGTCAACTCAAAAGTCACCTCGTTACCGTGACTGTTGGGGGGCACGGCATCGATGGAGTCATGTTCGTGTCGGGTTTCGAGGCGACTTTTGAGTCAACTCAAAAGTCACCTCGTTACCATGACTGTTGAGGAGCATGGCATCGATGGAGTCATGTTCGTGTCGGGTTTCGAGGCGACTTTTGAGTCAACTCAAAAGTCACCTCGTTACCATGACTGTTGAGGAGCATGGCATCGATGGAGTCATGTTCGTGTCGGGTTTCGAGGCGACTTTTGAGTCAACTCAAAAGTCACCTCGTTACCATGACTGTTGAGGAGCATGGCATCGATGGAGTCATGTTCGTGTCGGGTTTCGAGGCGACTTTTGAGTCAACTCAAAAGTCACCTCGTTACCATGACTGTTGAGGAGCATGGCATCGATGGAGTCATGTTCGTGTCGGGTTTCGAGGCGACTTTTGAGTCAACTCAAAAGTCACCTCGTTACCATGACTGTTGAGGAGCATGGCATCGATGGAGTCATGTTCGTGTCGGGTTTCGAGGCGACTTTTGAGTCAACTCAAAAGACACCTCGTTACCATGACTGTTGAGGAGCATGGCATCGATGGAGTCATGTTCGTGTCGGGTTTCGAGGCGACTTTTGAGTCAACTCAAAAGTCACCTCGTTACCATGACTGTTGAGGAGCATGGCATCGATGGAGTCATGTTCGTGTTGGGTTTCGAGGCGACTTTTGAGTCAACTCAAAAGTCACCTCGTTACCATGACTGTTGAGGAGCATGGCATCGATGGAGTCATGTTCGTGTCGGGTTTCGAGGCGACTTTTGAGTCAACTCAAAAGTCACCTCGTTACCATGACTGTTGAGGAGCATGGCATCGATGGAGTCATGTTCGTGTCGGGTTTCGAGGCGACTTTTGAGTCAACTCAAAAGTCACCTCGTTACCATGACTGTTGAGGAGCATGGCATCGATGGAGTCATGTTCGTGTCGGGTTTCGAGGCGACTTTTGAGTCAACTCAAAAGGCACCTCGTTACCATGACTGTTGAGGAGCATGGCATCGATGGAGTCATGTTCGTGTCGGGTTTCGAGGCGACTTTTGAGTCAACTCAAAAGTCACCTCGTTACCATGACTGTTGAGGAGCATGGCATCGATGGAGTCATGTTCGTGTCGGGTTTCGAGGCGACTTTTGAGTCAACTCAAAAGTCACCTCGTTACCATGACTGTTGAGGAGCATGGCATCGATGGAGTCATGTTCGTGTCGGGTTTCGAGGCGACTTTTGAGTCAACTCAAAAGTCACCTCGTTACCATGACTGTTGAGGAGCATGGCATCGATGGAGTCATGTTCGTGTCGGGTTTCGAGGCGACTTTTGAGTCAACTCAAAAGTCACCTCGTTACCATGACTGTTGAGGAGCATGGCATCGATGGAGTCATGTTCGTGTCGGGTTTCGAGGCGACTTTTGAGTCAACTCAAAAGTCACCTCGTTACCATGACTGTTGAGGAGCATGGCATCGATGGAGTCATGTTCGTGTCGGGTTTCGAGGCGACTTTTGAGTCAACTCAAAAGTCACCTCGTTACCATGACTGTTGAGGAGCATGGCATCGATGGAGTCATGTTCGTGTTGGGTTTCGAGGCGACTTTTGAGTCAACTCAAAAGTCACCTCGTTACCATGACTGTTGAGGAGCATGGCATCGATGGAGTCATGTTCGTGTCGGGTTTCGAGGCGACTTTTGAGTCAACTCAAAAGTCACCTCGTTACCATGACTGTTGAGGAGCATGGCATCGATGGAGTCATGTTCGTGTCGGGTTTCGAGGCGACTTTTGAGTCAACTCAAAAGTCACCTCGTTACCATGACTGTTGAGGAGCATGGCATCGATGGAGTCATGTTCGTGTCGGGTTTCGAGGCGACTTTTGAGTCAACTCAAAAGGCACCTCGTTACCATGACTGTTGAGGAGCATGGCATCGATGGAGTCATGTTCGTGTCGGGTTTCGAGGCGACTTTTGAGTCAACTCAAAAGTCACCTCGTTACCATGACTGTTGAGGAGCATGGCATCGATGGAGTCATGTTCGTGTCGGGTTTCGAGGCGACTTTTGAGTCAACTCAAAAGTCACCTCGTTACCATGACTGTTGAGGAGCATGGCATCGATGGAGTCATGTTCGTGTCGGGTTTCGAGGCGACTTTTGAGTCAACTCAAAAGTCACCTCGTTACCATGACTGTTGAGGAGCATGGCATCGATGGAGTCATGTTCGTGTCGGGTTTCGAGGCGACTTTTGAGTCAACTCAAAAGTCACCTCGTTACCATGACTGTTGAGGAGCATGGCATCGATGGAGTCATGTTCGTGTCGGGTTTCGAGGCGACTTTTGAGTCAACTCAAAAGTCACCTCGTTACCATGACTGTTGAGGAGCATGGCATCGATGGAGTCATGTTCGTGTCGGGTTTCGAGGCGACTTTTGAGTCAACTCAAAAGTCACCTCGTTACCATGACTGTTGAGGAGCATGGCATCGATGGAGTCATGTTCGTGTCGGGTTTCGAGGCGACTTTTGAGTCAACTCAAAAGTCACCTCGTTACCATGACTGTTGAGGAGCATGGCATCGATGGAGTCATGTTCGTGTTGGGTTTCGAGGCGACTTTTGAGTCAACTCAAAAGTCACCTCGTTACCATGACTGTTGAGGAGCATGGCATCGATGGAGTCATGTTCGTGTCGGGTTTCGAGGCGACTTTTGAGTCAACTCAAAAGTCACCTCGTTACCATGACTGTTGAGGAGCATGGCATCGATGGAGTCATGTTCGTGTCGGGTTTCGAGGCGACTTTTGAGTCAACTCAAAAGTCACCTCGTTACCATGACTGTTGAGGAGCATGGCATCGATGGAGTCATGTTCGTGTCGGGTTTCGAGGCGACTTTTGAGTCAACTCAAAAGTCACCTCGTTACCATGACTGTTGAGGAGCATGGCATCGATGGAGTCATGTTCGTGTCGGGTTTCGAGGCGACTTTTGAGTCAACTCAAAAGTCACCTCGTTACCATGACTGTTGAGGAGCATGGCATCGATGGAGTCATGTTCGTGTCGGGTTTCGAGGCGACTTTTGAGTCAACTCAAAAGTCACCTCGTTACCATGACTGTTGAGGAGCATGGCATCGATGGAGTCATGTTCGTGTCGGGTTTCGAGGCGACTTTTGAGTCAACTCAAAAGTCACCTCGTTACCATGACTGTTGAGGAGCATGGCATCGATGGAGTCATGTTCGTGTTGGGTTTCGAGGCGACTTTTGAGTCAACTCAAAAGTCACCTCGTTACCATGACTGTTGAGGAGCATGGCATCGATGGAGTCATGTTCGTGTCGGGTTTCGAGGCGACTTTTGAGTCAACTCAAAAGTCACCTCGTTACCATGACTGTTGAGGAGCATGGCATCGATGGAGTCATGTTCGTGTCGGGTTTCGAGGCGACTTTTGAGTCAACTCAAAAGTCACCTCGTTACCATGACTGTTGAGGAGCATGGCATCGATGGAGTCATGTTCGTGTCGGGTTTCCAGATCTCCAGATCGGTGAGATACTTGTGTCAAATCATGCTGCTTGCTTGCTTCCACGAGGATCATACATATAAAGTTTCGACCTGGATCCAGCAGGTGACTCGTCCTAGATCAAAAGCAGATCTCCAGATTGGTGATACTTGTGTCAAATCATGCTGCTTGCTTCCACGATGATCACCGATTGCCCCCTCTTCCCGCTCCGCCTCCTCCCCTCGAGGAGAGGTCGACTCAAGTAGCGCAATGTTTCCACGTGTGGTGGTGAGTTGTTGGCATCAAAGCCAACCCTTCCCTTCCCTCCCTTTTTCCCCCTTCGTCCCCCCCAGCTGTTCGTCTGGCAATCCACATGCCCACACACTCCCGTGCTTCACGATCCAGCTAGCAAGTGTTGAGTTGTTTGGATCTCTTAAGTGATCCTTCTCCCCCTCCTCCTCCCTCCTCGCCCCTCCCCCCCCCAGCTGTTCGTCTGGCAATCCACATGCCCACACACTCTCGTGCTTCACGATCCAGCCAGCAAGGGGACGACGGTGCTGCTGCTGCTGCTGCGGCTGCAGCTGGTGCCGTTGGTGCTGTCGGTGGTGGTGGTGGTGGTGGTGGTGGCAATAATAGTGCAGATAGGGACGGATTTGCTGGTAGCGAGGCTGCTGATATGGAGTACGGGTCGGTTGTGGAGTATGGGCTCATGGTGCTCGTGCTGCATGGGGACGAGAAGAGGTGAGGGGGGGAAGGGATGGGTAAAAGGTCAATTTACCAATGGCTGTGTTGAAGCCTCAGTTGTAGACTAGCGGAATCGTCGGCCGGATGGTTTTCTAAGTCAAATGAGTTCCCAAACAACCCAACTAAGATGTGGTTGGGTTGAAGAACACTGTATCGGGGTCGGGTTCAAACCCAACCCGACTTGGCCATAACTGACAATGATAACGGGCCAGGCCGAAATCGGGTAAAAACCCGACCCGAACCGACCCGATGCTCAGAGTCGGATATCGGGCCGGTCCGACTCGCCTGGGTGTACCCAAGCCCTGATTTGAGTCGACCCAAAACACGGCTCATTTTTATTCGATGCAAAACCCGGTCCGACTCGCCTGGGTGTACCCGTGCAATGATTGAGTCGACCCAAAACACGGCTCATTCTGATTCGACGCAAAACCCAGTCCGACTCGCCTGGGTGTACCCGGGCCCTGATTTGAGTCGACCCAAAACACGGCTCATTTTGAGTCGATGCAAAACCTGGTCCGACTCGCCTGGGTCAGCGGCCTGAGAATTTTGGCCCAACCCGACTGGGTGTCCTTTTAAAGCCTAGATACCCCTTGGATTGAAGCTCCCCTCTGGATTGAAGCTACCCCCTTGGATTCAAGCCGCCCCCTTGGATTCAAACCACCCCCTGGATTCAAACCACCCCCTGGATTCAAACCACCCCCTGGATTCAAACCGCCCCCTGGATTCAAACCGCCCCCTGGATTCAAACCGCCCCCTGGATTCAAACCGCCCCCTGGATTCAAGCCCTGGTCCAAGCGAGCGAGTTGGTCCACGAGTGCGCCTTGGTCCACGAGCGCGCCTTGGTCCACGAGCGCGTCTTGGTCCACGCGCGCGCCTTGGTCCACGCGCGCGCCTTGGTCCACGTGCGCGCCTTGGTCCACGCGCGCGCCTTGGTCCACGAGCGCGCCTTGGTCCACGAGCGCGCCTTGGTCCACGCGCGCGCCTTGGTCCATGAGCGTGCCTTGGTCCACGCGCGCGCATTGGTCCACGCGCGCGCCTTGATCCACGAGCGCGCCTTGGTCCACGAGCGCGCCTTGGTCCACGAGCGCGCCTTGGTCCACGCGCGCGCCTTGATCCACGAGCGCGCCTTGGTCCACAAGCGCGCCTTGGTCCACGAGCGCGCCTTGGTCCACGAGCGCGCCTTGGTCCACGAGCGCGCCTTGGTCCACGAGCGCGCCTTGGTCCACGCGCGCGCCTTGGTCCACGCGCGCGCCTTGGTCCACGAGCGCGCCTTGGTCCACGCGCGCGCCTTGGTCCACAAGCGCGCCTTGGTCCACGAGCGCGCCTTGGTCCACGAGCGCGCTTTGGTCCACGAGCGCGCCTTGGTCCACGCGCGCGCCTTGGTCCACGAGCGCGCCTTGGTCCACGCGCGCGCCTTGGTCCACGCGCGCGCCTTGGTCCACGCGCGCGCCTTGGTCCACGCGCGCGCCTTGGTCCACGCGCGCGCCTTGGTCCACGCGCGCGCCTTGGTGGAGATGGTGGTGATGGTGGAGGCAGTGGCAGTCCCAGTCACTATCGCCTTCCTCTCACTCCGTGTCCCCCCTCTTTCCCCCCCTGCCTTTCACAATCCCTATCCTTGTCTCCCCCCACCCACCAGGCAGTGGCAGCCGCACGAGGTGGAGATGGTGGAAGCAGTGGCAGACCAAGTGGCCATCGCGCTCTCACATGCTGCAGCGCTGGAGGAGTCGCAGGTAAGCAGGACATAGACTCTTTCTCTCCCCCACTTTTCCATTCTTTATTTGACTTGAGATGAGAGCAATATGAATATAGCAGTGGCGGACCAAGTGGGGTTCGCGCTCTCACATGCTGCAGCGCTGGAGCAGTCGCAGGTAGGCAGGAATCCCCTACTCGCACCCTCTCACATGCTGCAGTACTGGAATGGTCGCAGGTAGCCCTTGAGTCGCTCTTATAGTCACCTCGATACACTGTCACACAGCTCCGTTTGAGTCAACACAAATGGCGTCCTCCTTGTCTTTCACCCCTTCCATTCCTTCCCATTCCTCACACACGGAGGCGCAGGGAGGAGATGGCGGAGCAGAATGCAGCCATGCAGATGGTGCGGGTGAGTGCAGAAGAGGGTAGTTTCTTTTCCAATACAGCATGTCCTCTCCCCCTTTCCCCCACCACCCGACCCCACACAGCGGCGCAGGGAGGAGATGGCGGAGCAGAATGCGGCGATGCAGGTGGCACGGGTGCGAGCAGAGGAGGCGATTCAAGCCAGGAACGACTTCCTGTCCGTCATGAATCATGTGTGGAGGTGCCCACTCCTTATCCACTCTCTCTCGCCCCTCCGCCTCTCCCCTCCCCTCCCCTCATCGACACCCCCCCATTCCCACTTGCTCACGCAGAGGCGCAGGGAGGAGATGGCGGAGCAGAATGCGGCGCTGCAGGTGGCGCGGATTAGAGCAGAGGAGGCGATTCAAGCAAGAAACGACTTCCTGTCCGTCATGAATCACGAGATGAGGAGCCCGCTGCACACCATCCTCGCGCTCTCCTCCCTCATGGAGGTACATGGTTCCACCCAGCATGGTCCACCCAGCATGGTCCACCCAGCATGGTCCACCCAGCATGGTCCACCCAGCATGGTCCACCCAGCTCTAAGTCTAGGTACCTAGTCCCACCCAGCATGCCATGAAACCAGCCTTCCAACCTGCTCCTGTGAGTCATGAATCACGAGATGAGGAGCCCGCTGCACACCATCCTCGCGCTCTCCTCCCTCATGGAGGTGTGTGCGTGCTTGATTCAAGGGACCTCACATTCGTCTTCCTGTCACTGGTGAGCCAATCTCTGGAAATGAAGCACGGGATGGGGAGTTATATGCACACCCTTCTTCATCTCCTTAACCGGCGCTGATAGTTTTTACAACGACCACAAGGCTTGCTGCGGCTCGAATCCATCTTCAACCTGCATGGGATGGGGAGTTATATGCACACCCTTCTTCATCTCCTTAACCGGCGCTGATAGTTTTTACAACGACCACAAGGCTTGCTGCGGCTCGAATCCATCTTCAACCTGCATGGGATGGGGAGTTATATGCACACCCTTCTTCATCTCCTTAACCGGCGCTGATAGTTTTTACAACGACCACAAGGCTTGCTGCGGCTCGAATCCATCTTCAACCTGCATGGGATGGGGAGTTATATGCACACCCTTCTTCATCTCCTTAACCGGCGCTGATAGTTTTTACAACGACCACAAGGCTTGCTGCGGCTCGAATCCATCTTCAACCTGCATGGGATGGGGAGTTATATGCACACCCTTCTTCATCTCCTTAACCGGCGCTGATAGTTTTTACAACGACCACAAGGCTTGCTGCGGCTCGAATCCATCTTCAACCTGCATGGGATGGGGAGTTATATGCACACCCTTCTTCATCTCCTTAACCGGCGCTGATAGTTTTTACAACGACCACAAGGCTTGCTGCGGCTCGAATCCATCTTCAACCTGCATGGGATGGGGAGTTATATGCACACCCTTCTTCATCTCCTTAACCGGCGCTGATAGTTTTTACAACGACCACAAGGCTTGCTGCGGCTCGAATCCATCTTCAACCTGCATGGGATGGGGAGTTATATGCACACCCTTCTTCATCTCCTTAACCGGCGCTGATAGTTTTTACAACGACCACAAGGCTTGCTGCGGCTCGAATCCATCTTCAACCTGCATGGGATGGGGAGTTATATGCACACCCTTCTTCATCTCCTTAACCGGCGCTGATAGTTTTTACAACGACCACAAGGCTTGCTGCGGCTCGAATCCATCTTCAACCTGCATGGGATGGGGAGTTATATGCACACCCTTCTTCATCTCCTTAACCGGCGCTGATAGTTTTTACAACGACCACAAGGCTTGCTGCGGCTCGAATCCATCTTCAACCTGCATGGGATGGGGAGTTATATGCACACCCTTCTTCATCTCCTTAACCGGCGCTGATAGTTTTTACAACGACCACAAGGCTTGCTGCGGCTCGAATCCATCTTCAACCTGCATGGGATGGGGAGTTATATGCACACCCTTCTTCATCTCCTTAACCGGCGCTGATAGTTTTTACAACGACCACAAGGCTTGCTGCGGCTCGAATCCATCTTCAACCTGCATGGGATGGGGAGTTATATGCACACCCTTCTTCATCTCCTTAACCGGCGCTGATAGTTTTTACAACGACCACAAGGCTTGCTGCGGCTCGAATCCATCTTCAACCTGCATGGGATGGGGAGTTATATGCACACCCTTCTTCATCTCCTTAACCGGCGCTGATAGTTTTTACAACGACCACAAGGCTTGCTGCGGCTCGCATCCATCTTCAACCTGCATGGGATGAGGAGTTATATGCACACCCTTCTTCATCTCCTTAACCGGCGCTGATAGTTTTTACAACGACCACAAGGCTTGCTGCGGCTCGAATCCATCTTCAACCTGCATGGGATGGGGAGTTATATGCACACCCTTCTTCATCTCCTTAACCGGCGCTGATAGTTTTTACAACGACCACAAGGCTTGCTGCGGCTCGAATCCATCTTCAACCTGCATGGGATGAGGAGTTATATGCACACCCTTCTTCATCTCCTTAACCGGCGCTGATAGTTTTTACAACGACCACAAGGCTTGCTGCGGCTCGCATCCATCTTCAACCTGCATGGGATGAGGAGTTATATGCACACCCTTCTTCATCTCCTTAACCGGCGCTGATAGTTTTTACAACGACCACAAGGCTTGCTGCGGCTCGAATCCATCTTCAACCTGCATGGGATGAGGAGTTATATGCACACCCTTCTTCATCTCCTTAATCGGCGCTGATAGTTTTTACAACGACCACAAGGCTTGCTGCGGCTCGAATCCATCTTCAACCTGCATGGGATGGGGAGTTATATGCACACCCTTCTTCATCTCCTTAACCGGCGCTGATAGTTTTTACAACGACCACAAGGCTTGCTGCGGCTCGAATCCATCTTCAACCTGCATGGGATGGGGAGTTATATGCACACCCTTCTTCATCTCCTTAACCGGCGCTGATAGTTTTTACAACGACCACAAGGCTTGCTGCGGCTCGAATCCATCTTCAACCTGCATGGGATGGGGAGTTATATGCACACCCTTCTTCATCTCCTTAACCGGCGCTGATAGTTTTTACAACGACCACAAGGCTTGCTGCGGCTCGAATCCATCTTCAACCTGCATGGGATGAGGAGTTATATGCACACCCTTCTTCATCTCCTTAACCGGCGCTGATAGTTTTTACAACGACCACAAGGCTTGCTGCGGCTCGCATCCATCTTCAACCTGCATGGGATGAGGAGTTATATGCACACCCTTCTTCATCTCCTTAACCGGCGCTGATAGTTTTTACAACGACCACAAGGCTTGCTGCGGCTCGAATCCATCTTCAACCTGCATGGGATGAGGAGTTATATGCACACCCTTCTTCATCTCCTTAACCGGCGCTGATAGTTTTTACAACGACCACAAGGCTTGCTGCGGCTCGAATCCATCTTCAACCTGCATGGGATGGGGAGTTATATGCACACCCTTCTTCATCTCCTTAACCGGCGCTGATAGTTTTTACAACGACCACAAGGCTTGCTGCGGCTCGAATCCATCTTCAACCTGCATGGGATGGGGAGTTATATGCACACCCTTCTTCATCTCCTTAACCGGCGCTGATAGTTTTTACAACGACCACAAGGCTTGCTGCGGCTCGAATCCATCTTCAACCTGCATGGGATGGGGAGTTATATGCACACCCTTCTTCATCTCCTTAACCGGCGCTGATAGTTTTTACAACGACCACAAGGCTTGCTGCGGCTCGAATCCATCTTCAACCTGCATGGGATGGGGAGTTATATGCACACCCTTCTTCATCTCCTTAACCGGCGCTGATAGTTTTTACAACGACCACAAGGCTTGCTGCGGCTCGAATCCATCTTCAACCTGCATGGGATGGGGAGTTATATGCACACCCTTCTTCATCTCCTTAACCGGCGCTGATAGTTTTTACAACGACCACAAGGCTTGCTGCGGCTCGAATCCATCTTCAACCTGCATGGGATGGGGAGTTATATGCACACCCTTCTTCATCTCCTTAACCGGCGCTGATAGTTTTTACAACGACCACAAGGCTTGCTGCGGCTCGAATCCATCTTCAACCTGCATGGGATGGGGAGTTATATGCACACCCTTCTTCATCTCCTTAACCGGCGCTGATAGTTTTTACAACGACCACAAGGCTTGCTGCGGCTCGAATCCATCTTCAACCTGCATGGGATGGGGAGTTATATGCACACCCTTCTTCATCTCCTTAACCGGCGCTGATAGTTTTTACAACGACCACAAGGCTTGCTGCGGCTCGAATCCATCTTCAACCTGCATGGGATGGGGAGTTATATGCACACCCTTCTTCATCTCCTTAACCGGCGCTGATAGTTTTTACAACGACCACAAGGCTTGCTGCGGCTCGAATCCATCTTCAACCTGCATGGGATGGGGAGTTATATGCACACCCTTCTTCATCTCCTTAACCGGCGCTGATAGTTTTTACAACGACCACAAGGCTTGCTGCGGCTCGAATCCATCTTCAACCTGCATGGGATGGGGAGTTATATGCACACCCTTCTTCATCTCCTTAACCGGCGCTGATAGTTTTTACAACGACCACAAGGCTTGCTGCGGCTCGAATCCATCTTCAACCTGCATGGGATGGGGAGTTATATGCACACCCTTCTTCATCTCCTTAACCGGCGCTGATAGTTTTTACAACGACCACAAGGCTTGCTGCGGCTCGAATCCATCTTCAACCTGCATGGGATGGGGAGTTATATGCACACCCTTCTTCATCTCCTTAACCGGCGCTGATAGTTTTTACAACGACCACAAGGCTTGCTGCGGCTCGAATCCATCTTCAACCTGCATGGGATGGGGAGTTATATGCACACCCTTCTTCATCTCCTTAACCGGCGCTGATAGTTTTTACAACGACCACAAGGCTTGCTGCGGCTCGAATCCATCTTCAACCTGCATGGGATGGGGAGTTATATGCACACCCTTCTTCATCTCCTTAACCGGCGCTGATAGTTTTTACAACGACCACAAGGCTTGCTGCGGCTCGAATCCATCTTCAACCTGCATGGGATGGGGAGTTATATGCACACCCTTCTTCATCTCCTTAACCGGCGCTGATAGTTTTTACAACGACCACAAGGCTTGCTGCGGCTCGAATCCATCTTCAACCTGCATGGGATGGGGAGTTATATGCACACCCTTCTTCATCTCCTTAACCGGCGCTGATAGTTTTTACAACGACCACAAGGCTTGCTGCGGCTCGAATCCATCTTCAACCTGCATGGGATGAGGAGTTATATGCACACCCTTCTTCATCTCCTTAACCGGCGCTGATAGTTTTTACAACGACCACAAGGCTTGCTGCGGCTCGAATCCATCTTCAACCTGCATGGGATGGGGAGTTATATGCACACCCTTCTTCATCTCCTTAACCGGCGCTGATAGTTTTTACAACGACCACAAGGCTTGCTGCGGCTCGCATCCATCTTCAACCTGCATGGGATGAGGAGTTATATGCACACCCTTCTTCATCTCCTTAACCGGCGCTGATAGTTTTTACAACGACCACAAGGCTTGCTGCGGCTCGAATCCATCTTCAACCTGCATGGGATGGGGAGTTATATGCACACCCTTCTTCATCTCCTTAACCGGCGCTGATAGTTTTTACAACGACCACAAGGCTTGCTGCGGCTCGAATCCATCTTCAACCTGCATGGGATGAGGAGTTATATGCACACCCTTCTTCATCTCCTTAACCGGCGCTGATAGTTTTTACAACGACCACAAG